TCTTTTACCAACTAAAATGTGGCGCGTTTATAAAGTGTTTAAAGTGTTTATTATTAAATGAGATGTTGGTTTACCTTCTATTACTTTTATATAAATAATATCAATTAAGAATTATATTGAGGTTATAGAGCAAAATCTGATTTAATTCCAATTTAAAATTTAGGCTTCTAGATACAATACTTCAGGAAAAAAAGTTATATCTTATATTTGAATATTGTGATATGGATTTAAAAAAATACATCGATAGTGCACCGTTTGGATTACCGGTAGATATAATTAAGGTACAATATATCCGGTTTTGATATTTGACCGCAATTTGCTAATCGGAAATTTTCTGTAGATTTTATTAACTATTATTTGTTTGATTTACAGAAATTTACTTATCAACTTTTGTGTGGAATCAAGTATTGCCATTCACATAGAATTCTTCATCGTGATCTGAAACCTCAAAATCTTCTTATTGGTTTAGACGGTAATTTAAAATTGGCCGATTTTGGTTTAGCAAGAGATTTTTCTAATTCTATAGGTGTTCTTACTCATGAGGTACAATCTGTCATTTACAATTTATCCTAATAACATTAATTTTGTATGTTGAGATTATTATCAAATAACTTTAATTACATTTAATTAGGTTGTCACGCTATGGTATAGACCTCCAGAACTTCTCCTTGGTGCTCGATATTATTCTACAGGCGTCGATATGTGGAGTGTCGGCTGTATTTTTGCGGAGATGATGTCATCATATGCTTTATTTAGAGGTATCCCATCATGGTCACGTGAAAATTTCCGTATTTTAGATTAATATAAACTTTAAGCTTTTACGTTTCAAAGATCTTTTATATTTATTCGACTATTTTTTGAAAGGTGATAGTGAAATAGATCAATTGTTCAAGATTTTTGGGTTAGTGACATTTTGACGTTTATTTTGCTCGTTAGTTTTATATTTCATTATCAATCTCATCACGTGACATTGGTTTTAATGCGTATGAATAGCATTCTAGGGACACCAGATGAACGTCTATGGCCCGGAGTACATCAATTGCCTAATTTCAAATTTATATTCCCTTCTTGGAGACGTTATCCTTTAAATCAAATTTTTCCTTGGATGAGTTATGATGCAATTAATTTATTGGAGGTAATTTCATTTTTTCAACTCAGATATTTATGAAATCACCTATGCCAATACATAATTTTTGTTAATCTCTTTAGAACCTCTTGATTTATGTACCAAGTCGGCGAATTGCGGCTAGAACAGCCCTTCGCCACACCTACTTCGATGATATAAACTATCCTCGTTCATGAACTAAGTGTAAAATTTTGTAAATATAGATATTAGACACCCATATATCCTGTGGGTCATGTGCACGATTAGACTATACAAATACGTATGAAAATTTATAATAATAATAGTAATAAATAATAAATAAATCTATATATTAAAAAACACCAACAATTTCACGATTTATACGCTATCACGTTAGTATCAAAGACGGGTCAAAGTTATGTATCCTTGATGGTTCCGTGTCATTTCACAGAAAATATAAAACTGGTTTACTAACCTGACACTAACCCTAAATCGGGCTAATAATGTCGGTGAATGACCTGTCGGTAAAATGTGAAGTGAACGGAACCGATCCTGGATCTCGAACCCATCCGTCAATTTGACCTCATAGCACCATCTTTTTCATACTCTAGACTAGAAATTGTTAAAAATTCAAATAATATCCAAACAATGAAATGACAATCGTAATACTTATTTCGTTGCATCAGTCTCACGTTTAACGATTTAGATTCATGTCAGATAGAGTTGCCGGCCGTAATTATTTTAACAGGTTGTAATATTGCAACCTATATATGTAATATTACAACCCATATGTCGTAATTATTTATGACCAAAAGTCGAATGTATAATGAAAATAGAAAAAACTTTTATATTTATTAGTAAATAATAATGCTAACTAAATATTTTTAATTTTTGTAAGGTTGGTTGCTTGAAGAAAATCTATTTATGACATAATCACAAACTCTAAATTTTTTATTAAGATAAATGAAATAGAATTTTTAATAGTCATGATTATAATAGAATTGATGAAAACTTAACGATGTGACGGAGTTGGAAATTTTGGTTTTTCAATAATAAAATAAGAATGCGCAATTTATAGATTTGTCTTTATGTCACGAGAGCGTTTCATTTGACCATTATATTCTATTATAAGAATTTATAAGGTATTTCAACTCTCAATATGAACCTGTAAACCCTGGTGGGAACATTCTTTTTATCGACGATCTTTGTTGGTGTGGAGTGCATTAAAACGCAATTATGCATGT